GAACAAACTGCAACTCTGCTTTCATGAACTCATCATCCAGTTGAACCACTTGGCTACATGGCAACATAACCCTTGCCTTAATAAAATCTGTAAACCTGCATTTTTCCATGTCTGTGGAAAGTGATGGAAATCCCTAAAAGATGGTGCACATTTAGTCTCTTTCCTCAGCTTCTCCTGCCATCTCCATTGCCGAGTTTTGTTTGAATGAAGGCGGGAGAGCTTGCTACACTGAGCGTTGATGACGTATTTCCAAATCCATCCCATGTGTGAGCGGTGACTGTGATTGGTTCCCTTCTATGAGGAGCACAGCGTGAGGCCAATTGCATTTTAGAAAAGAAAAACACCAACAGCTGACTACAAAGCTATGCTGAGCCTAAAAGGAACCAGTAACGACGAGCTTCCTAGAAATGTAGTGGAGTCGAAAGCACAATATTTATCTTGTAGTGGAGTGAAAGTCACAAGTTTCCAAAAAAACAAATACTCAAGTAAATGTACTCCGTTACTGTCCACCACTGCTTGTACAAACCATAGCAGCTCAATGTATTTTAAAGCTTGAGATTATATATTAATTAACAATTTGTCAATTGCATTCTAATTGCAGAATAGAGAGGATGTGGAGAGATGTTTATGAGCATGCCCTAGACCTCTTCTATCAGATCTTCACTTCATTGGAAGATCAGGGAACACTCAATCCAGACAACCAAGTCCATCTTTATGCCCTGCACCGGATCTTCCTTCCCCAAATTCAGAGAACCCTCAGCTCCTTCAGAGATGCTTGGAACTTTCATGGACTTAGAACTGAAAGGAATCAATCACCTAATGAACTCTGGAGAAGATACAGAGAGCAAGGCCCCATGGAGGATCCTGCAGAGGTTAAAAAAAAGATAGTAGTTTTACACTATTATTGAAACCTTTTGAAAATATATTCATATTTTGTTGGTCAGGAGATACAGGTGTTTGTCACTGATGTTTAGCAGATTTATTTTTCCTCAAATTTCTTAGAAGAAACATTTCAGACAGATGATAATTGGACCCACTATATTTGAATAAAAGGGTTTCTGTTATCACTTTGTTCTTGTTTTTGAATGAAACATGAGAATCTCTTCTGTCTCCTGAGCTCTGACAGAACAACATCTGAGCAGCAAAGTGCCTAAAACTTAATTTGTCACCAACATAAGGACCAATGATCAATCTCATGAATCTTGTGTGATGACATGTCATAGTAGTTTAAACAATATGTCAATCAAGGTTATCCTCTGTTCAGGTTTATGAAGACTATGGGATCGACTGGAATGGGCCTCACAATCAGCATGGAGACACTGTGTCAGTTCCTGAGATTCAGATGGCCCGTGAGCTCTCAGATGAAGAGGTTGCCATTTTGCCAGTTTCAGGAGTTTCTTTAAATGATGCAATTGGATCATATTTGGAGACAGTGCAAGTTTTGTCAAGAATCATTGGAGACTGATATCTTAAGCAGGCCTTTTATTTTATTTATTGTGCAAATGTCACTCATGAATTAGTTAACTTGATTTGTCAATAAAAATCTGAAATAATAATATGCTGTTTTAATGCAAATAAAACCAATTTTTCTAGCATCAAGAGATATTTCAACAACCTCATGTAGCCAATGACAACAGGCAAGGACAGCAAGGTGATGCACACTGAAGTATCAAACAGTTGACAGAAGAGCAACAACAAAGCAGTGTCATTTTCAGGGAAAGAAAATACTGCACTGTATTTGAAATGTTAGAAAAACACTGAACTCACTTCACTCAAATTGACCTTTTTCTACTGAATAAAAGCACAGCAACATCATTGCCTGAAAATACTTAAACAAGAGCAAATCCAGTGTGTGCACTGTCTATGGCAGCAACAAGTGCTTCCTCAAAGTCTTTGTAGGTGTTGTAATGAGCTGGCAGCTTCAGTGTTTCAAAGCATGTGGAGGATGATGGGAAGGTTCCCCCGGAAAACTCCACTTTGAGTTCTGGAGGGAGCATTTCCCAGCCGACCCAGAACTTCAGCAACTGAGCCAGAGTATCTGATGAAGCTAAAAGGTCATAAAGTGGATTAAGAACACAGTGCACTGTAACTGTTCAAATCCCTATGCATTTCATATATTCTACAGTGTTAAGTGAGATGTTTATGGGACATAGAGACATTGGTAAACATGAAAATAAATTGCAAAATAAGATAGCTATACCTGTTTCAATGAACATCCGTAGAAAACCAGTGATGCGGCACTTGCACTCAATGTCAAGTTCTTCATCATCACTGTCCTCCACAGGCCATGTGATTTTGTCTAGGAACATCTGGAAAAAAAAAGTTTGAAAAGTATTTTGGTGTCTAGGATAATTTATAATTCAGCACTGATGAAAAGGAATATAGATTACAGTCTTGGTAATTGAGAAAATATCCAGCTCAGTAAATTAGACAATAAGATTTGCACACACATTTATTAATATTTTAAGTATTGTTAATAAGTTGGATGTACTAAATCACCTGGGGTACAAACTGCATTCCTGCCATTTTCAGAAAAAGAAGTGGGACAACATCTGGCCTTGATGTCAGCAGGGGCCATAGCATCACATCTTTCAATCCCTTTCTCAACTGTTTAATTTGGCGCATGGTCCTCCCGATGACCTACAAGAAAGGCCAAACCCATATTACTGACCAAATATTAAAATTCTACAAAAGTCAGCACAGTAGAAAGTGTTTATAAAACTCTAATGCAGTGCTTAACAACCCTATAAAACCATTTGTATCATATTTGCTACGCAAGTTTCTGAGACCTCTGTCTTATCAACATGATCAAAACTTTCCTTTAAAACCTGTTGTATATGACCTGATACATGTATTCTGCCCCCTAGAGGATTTGCACTCTACTGCAGGCAGTGGAAGGGCTTTTTTTGACCTTTTAAAAAATGGCCACCATCATGCTAGCATCCACACACTTTCAGCAGGAAAATCTTTGCTAATTTTCAAGAAGTTACAGTAAGAATAACATTTATATTGTTACTCATTCTTTAATAGGAGTATATTCTGTATTAAAACAATGCATCATTACTTAATAATTCATTCTTCATATTACAGTTAAATCGTGTTAAAAATGTGTGTATCACATTTGATACTGCAGGTATATAAGGTGCTTTATCCTTGAACGGTCATTCTAAATTTTTGTAATGTAATCTACATCATGCCTACCAATATACAAACACACACTATTTTAATGATTTAATAAATCTAAGTAATGACTGAAATGCCATTTTAAAATACATTTTGGGTATTTTCACAATAACAATTCCTCTGAAATCATAATCGCTACGCTATATTGACCAATTTGTTATGTGTGTATTTTTAGATGTCAAAAAGAATAGAGGAAGAAGTGAGAAAACAAACGTACATTGAAAATGTCATCAACATGATAATGGATGGCAATTCAAGTGACATAGAGCAGTTAGAGGAAGATGATGAGGAGGATGAGGAAGAATGGACTCCTCAGGCCATGCATGATGATGGAAGTTCAGATAGCAGTGATGAGGAAGACTATCAAGAGGAAAGTGTAGCCCAGACAAGCACAGACGTTGAGATCCCAACAACAACACAGGACACAATCAGAAAGGAGTCAGTGAAGGCCAATGCACAAAGGAAAGAATACAGATGGAGAAAAATAAATTATCAAGCTCCATCTATCAATTTCATTGCAAGTGTTGAGGAAGGCACAGAAGACAGGTGTGACTGGACACCATACATGTATTTCAAACAGTTTGTCACTGATGAAATGCTAGAGGAAACTGCAGAACAAACAAACCTGTACAGTGTACAAAAAGAGGGCAAGTCAGTAAACACAACTGCAAGGAAATAGAGCAGGTTCTAGGCATGTACATTCATATGGGGTTAGTACAGATGTCCTCTGTGAGAGCCTATTGGGAGATGGAGACAAGGCTCCCTGCAGTTTGTCATGTGATGTCTCGAGATCGGTTTCTGAAATTGCTGACAGTGATTCACTTTCAGGACAACCTCAGTGTGTCTGATGATGCAAAGAAAGATAAACTGTGGAAGCTCAGGCCATGGTTACAAAAACTGCGAGAACAGTTTCTCTACATACCTCCTGAAGAAAGCCATGCAGTTGATGAAATCATGGTGCCATTTAAGGGAAAATCTCATCTACGTGTCTACATGCCTGCAAAACCTCACAAATGGGGTTTCAAAATGTGGGGACGTGCTGGACAAAGTGGCTTTCTTTATGACTTTGATATTTGTCAAGGTGCAGAAAATCCAGACAGAGAAAAGTCTGAAGTAGGTGTTACAGGAGAAGTTGTGCTGAAAATGACATCAACACTTCCAGCAGGAAAAAATCACAAGGTCTTTGCAGACAACTACTTCACATCAGTTCCCCTGGTGCAACACCTAAAAGAAAGAGGAATCCACTACGTTGGCACGATCCGGATGAACAGGATGAAACACTGCACCATGATGGATGAAAAAGAATTGAAGACAAATGGAAGAGGGTCAATGGACTTCAGAGTGAACCAGGAAAACAACATCGTTGTAAGATGGTACGACAACAAAGCAGTGAACCTGATTTCCTCTTTTGTTGGCACTGAACCTGTGGGAAATGTGAAACGCTGGGATCGCAAATCCAAAACTCACATAATGGTTCCCAGACCAGCCATTGTTGAAACATATAACAAGTTCATGGGAGGTGTTGATCTCCTTGATATGCTGTCTGCACTTTACAAGTTCAGCTTCAGATCCCGAAGATGGTACATGTACATCTGGTGGCACACTGTTACAGTGGCAGTCATCAATGCGTGGAACCTCTACAGAAGAGACCAGAAGAAGCTAAACCCCAAGAAGAAACCCGTGCCTCTGTGAAGGTTTCAGGCTTTGGTTGGCAGGAAAGGCCAAAATCAGGTGTGGCAGACCACTATCCTCTCCAGAAGAGACTCCAACACCACCCGTAAAAGACCAAGCTGCAGTGTGCCTCTTGATGTGAGAAG